GGCCTGCAGTTCAGGGAACTCGGCTAGCTCGCGAAAAAACATGAGAATATTGTGTGGGCCTGAAGTTCAGGGAACTCGGCTAGCTCACGAGAAAAGTTGAGAATATTTGTGTGCCTGGAGTTCAAGGAACTCGGCTAGCTCACGAGAAAACTTGAGAATATTTGTGTGCCTGGAGTTCAAGGAATATAAATTAAGTCAACACACATGGCTAATTGCATAACGTCGTTTGGATCTTCGAAGGACGAATTTTGCCCCACCCACCCACCCCTAAGCCTGGTGGCGGTAGTGTTCTCGTTTTCCCTATTCTCGCTGTTTGCCTCATCATCGTCGCGGATCTCGCCCCATAACTTAATCATACTGCGACGTGATAATGGCTTCAGTAAGAATATATTACTAAAGAAAGGGCGAATATTTTTTGTAATATGTACTCCTTTTTAACTCGTGGATACGCGAAGCGTAGAAACGAGTTATTGTGAGGGGTCTGAATATGCAAATGCGTCACTCACTCGCTCACTCACTAAGATGTTAGCAGATCGATAATTAAACGTTTAGCGATCGTCTTACGTCATCTAATTACGAATGTTACACGACACTAACATGCACAAAGCTCTTATACCATATAGATTACTTTGTTATTTTAAATGAGGAAACGATATGCTCATGTTCCATGTGGGATATATTTCTAGCACTTGTAGACGCCGTGGGGGCCCACTGTGCATGCGCACACTCGCACATAGTTTTATCTTCGAATTATTCATATTAAAAGAATCAAGGAAAGATGCAAGTTGAAGTAAAATTATACAATTAACGCCTGAAATAAAATTTCAATGAGTTATTAGACCTTTTTTTCTGATGTATTTTAAAAAGTAAACAAACACGCTTATTATTAGGTACAACGTCAACATTTCGATTTTTCAGAAGACTCGTAGATCGAGCCGGTTATCGAAAAAAGCTATTTTAATTAGAACTCAAGAAGAGAGTCTGATTTCAAGCTCTGGAGGACTTTATTCTCCATAGAGACAGCTCAAAGTCAAGGCGGTATTCAGCAATAAAATCTCATAAACTCGATCGAGCGAAGTTTTATTATTACTGATCAACAGTTGTATTTATACTAAGTGACTTCTTAAGAAAATAATCAATGTAGATGTACGTAGATCGTAGAAAAATAGTAAAAGACGAAAAAAAGAACAATTCCAATGGGGTTTTGAAGGAAGTTCGGCCAGTTTTGTCATTTAAATAAGCCTTTCTGAACAAAAAGTAGATTGACCGCCACGCATTACAAGATTGAAAACAGCCGAAGCAATGCTCAGATTGTATGTTGAAATGTACGAAGGTCTAACGAGAATTCGCTACAATAAATAATCATTAATTTACCGACTTGGATGAAGAAAAAATAAATAGCATTTCTAAACGAATTTCTATAAAATATTTGCTTAGTTCACAGTGTAAATAAATTAGTTTCATTTGAAACAAATGTAAGAGCCGTGACCCTTGAAGGTCAAGATAAGTAGTAATGTAAATCAACACGCATAACGCAACGCTTTATGTTGATCGTCCCGATTGTATCATAAACGGTCGATTATCTTGTATATTCAGTTTTGAGCTCGTAGGTCGAATCATTCCTGGTATAAAACACACAGCCCGCCTTTGAAATTGAAAACAGAGAAAGCGTTTTCAAATAGATCTTCTTCCAATTATACTCTATACTTGACTCAGTTGACTCTATCGAAGTCGTAGTCGAAATCGTCTTTCGTATTAATTGAAGTTCAGACAATTTTCAATTCCAATCTCAACAAACTAGCGAAGAACTAGATGTTAAAACGAAAATAATAAGGACGATTACTTATCTTACTAGATAAATTGAGCATTAAAAATATTAAATCGAGCGAAATATTTGGAATCCGTTTGAGAATGTCAACAAGCTTAAGGAGGGCACAGGAAGACCAATCTTCGAAAAGTGCAACAAGTATCCACGAGTTCGCCAAAGGGCGTTTGATTATATTTCATCACAGGTAGCCCAAGCTTGGTTTCTGTGGTGTCCTGTTATAAGGAAATGTATGGGGAATCATCAAAAATGTCAATAAAATCATCAAAACGTGAAATAAAGCCTCGAAATTTTACCCTATCATAGAGAAATAGCACTTCTTTGGCTCTTCGTGGTTGTTTTTTGAATTTACCAGTCTTACTGGTGGGGGAAAAAATCCTTAAAACGGGCTAAATTCAAAAAATAACCACGCAGA